AAAATCTCGTGAAAACCAAATAAGGATGCATACGAAGAAAATTTTCTAGTATAAAACGTTTAAATTATTTCTAAAAAGCAATGAATAATTTTATTAAATAAGACAAAAAACAAACATTTCGAGTAATATACTTTTATAATATACTGTATAATTTTAAATATTTTGATAAAAATAATGAACAATAGTCATCTTTTAAAGCTACAATACTGTATAAACATTAAATACTGTATTAGACTAAAGACAAATTTGCAAAGTAGCAAATTTTGTTTGTAATAAACTAATTCTGACTGTTGTGTACTTACACCGATTGCGTTCAGTGACGTCACATCCGACCGTAAATTAGAATTATTCTTGTCCAGCTTTTCGACCTCACGAAGTGGCAACACCTCGTGGTAAAAAACAGAACTACGGCTACGAAATCGTTTTGTAATTAGCCTCCAGTGTGTCTAGAGATCAATGGCTGAAGATCAACAGGCTCAGCAGAAAGGGAAGTGAGTTCAATACAGCATCTATTCGAGTTATGGCAATTCTTTGAAATTCAAGATTGTTGATTTTGTTAAAAATTTACTAGGGCATAATTATTTAAATACACTTTTACAGCCTGCTGCTTTGGGGACCCGGGTCATAAGCGGACGGATCGAAATGTCCCATGAATTTTTTGGAGTAGTCGGGCCCCGTCCCTCACAATCCGACGGCCGCATTATAGGCCTGGCCGAGCCCTTAATGAGCTCGTTAAAAAGGCTATCTTAGTGCTCACAGGGCGAAAAGTTAAAAAAAACTATGTGCATTTTGGGATCATCAATACCCTTTATCAGTTCGGTTCCCCCTCTGTTAAAATTTAATGAGGATTAAAGTTAAAACAACTTTACTTATTAAATTTATCATTCAGAATACCATATATTTAATATTTTAATTTGTTTCTCAACTTTACTTTCTGTACTTTGGGATTTAGACATTTATGTTCTATTAATTAATATAATGTTTTCTGTTTCAATGTTCACATTGGGTTAATAAAAAATCTATTAGTCAACTTTCAAACTAAATAATTGGGTTATTTATAATAAAAAAAATTTTGAGTCGGCTACTTGAATTTTGCTACAAAAGCTAGAAATACCTGGCAACACTCGTTTCAAGTCAAGTGTAAACCACGTTGCTGCATGCTCTGTGCTACAGTGGCCTGTTCATCCATTCATTCGACTCATCTTGAATTTGTTTAGTCAAACGTTAGTAGACGAACGACCGCAAGTAATTTCTGACTAGTAGTATCATTTGTGCACTATAATCACCACTTTATAGTGCATAAAGTCTGGAATAGCCAGCGTGGCAAAAGAAGCTATCAAAGATCAATAGTCTAAGGGGTATGACAGCAAAGTAGGTGACATACTTAATTAAGGGCACATTCTTGGCATCCAAAGTGATATGTGGCCAGTCACCATGAAAGAGATTGGAGCCACATCACGTACCCTCCACCATAGTAAGCCATGAAAATCGCTACCACTAAAAGGATGAGTTATAGAGACAAGATTGAGCCCCCTGCGAACTGTGTCTCTAATGAATGCTCAGTTGTGTCATGAGAACAGTAAGTTTGACTTTAATATTAGAGAATATGAAGAGGCCATCTTAATCCCACCTAGGAGGATGACATCAGATAAACCCAAACTGAAGACCAGGAATGTACTCTTTAACATAGAAGCTTGGAATGTGAGAATACTGTATGAACCGGGAAAACGTGATGATTTAGATCAAGAAATAAAGTCAATACAGCTTGATGTAGGTATTTGCGAAACAAGATAGACAGAATCAGGAAAGCTAAACAAGAATGAATTTACAATGAATAAGTATAGCAAGATCAATTAAGGGCTTTACTGCAGTCAAAGAGAAAATCATTGCAGTAACGATAGCTGCTCAACCTTTTGACATCCTCCTAATCCAGGTTTATGCACCCACAACTGGCCACGAGGAATAAGACATTAAAATATTCTATGCAAATTTGAAGGAATCAGAGAAAATGGCAAAATCAAATGATATAATTATGGTTATGGGTGATTTTAATGCAAAAGTGGGCAATGAGAAGATACTGGAATGCATGGGCCAATATGGGCTAGGTAAGAAAAATAAAAGAGGGGATAAATTCATTTAATTTTGTGAAAAAAATAAGTTGATAATCACCAACACCCTGTTTAAACATCCAGCAAAAGTGTATACATGGAAAAGTCCAGGTGATATTTGCAGGAATCAAATAGACTTCATTTTGATTAAGGAAAAATTCAGATATATTTTAAAACAAGCCAAGTCATATCCTGGAGCAGATATTAATTCGACCATAATCCAGTTGTAGGGAAAGCAAAAATTAAACTAAAAACCTGTAAGCAAAAATCAGTATCAGTACTCTATGAAAAGGACTCTATGAAAAAATCAGAGAAGTCACTTTTAAAAAATGGTATTTCAAGCACAACGTATAAGAGATTTAAATGGGAGAATAATCTTGGAGACAGAAGAAATAATGAAAAGGTGGTATGAATATGGATTATAATTATTCCAAGGTGACAGGGAGGAGAGTGGGAGTTAGAAGGCCCACCAATACTCAAATGAGCAGTTGTAAAAGCCATTGACAAAGTTAAACCTAGTAAGGCTGCTAGGCCAGGCAATATAGAACCAGAATGGATCAAAGCTCTAAATGACAGAGGCATCAAAGCCCTAGCTAAGTTATGCAATGACATCTATTAACTGGGATACCTTCCTGAATACTTCAATCTATATTTGTTCCAATTTCCAAACACCAAAAGCAAATAAGTGTGAAGATTTTAAAACCATATGCCTAATTAGTCATGTGACAAAGGTTCTAACTTGTATCTTGTTAAATAGAGTCAAAGGAAGATGAAACAAAGGCGTAAGTAAAACACAAAGTGGTTTCCAAGAGAATAAAGGAACAAGAGAAGGTATTTTCAATCTGAAAACTATTATTAAAAGATATAAGGAAAAACAGAAAAATATTTATATATGTTTTATAGACTATACAAAGCAATTTGATAACGTGAANCTGCCGAGTCTACTTTAAACATACAACCAGACCGAAAGCTGTCAGAAAATTTCGATCTTTTATTTGTTTCGAGCGATCACTTTCTTAAAGCCGGTTCCACACATTCGGTATTCCTCGATTTGTTCTATTCGGTCAGACACAAATTAACGTAGAGGAGTGAAAAACAAACAATACCGAATACCGAGTTACGAGTAAATCGTTCACACCACTCTTCAGGATCAACTTTGAAACTCGTTGTCTCGATAAGTTTCGAAGTGTGATTTTTACATGAACACTTGTAATGACACGCGATTTTCACCTACAGATATTATATGCGAATTCTAGTTACATTTTTTTTCTGAGAATCGTTGAATTAATTAAAACTATTCGAAGGACTAATAAGTATATTTTTTTAACACGCGCGTGTTAAATTGCGGACGGCGCGATTACGTAATTGTGATCATAAATGTTTTTGAAACGACGTTTTAACTTCAAACACATAAATTTACATATTTTTCGTGTCGGTGGGTCAACGGAAGACCTCAAGCTCCCGTAGTTCCATTAAATCCTTATAATTTATTATATAAGATTAAACACTAATTTACTACATTATATGAAATTCAAAGAATGACATTTTACTCTCTGAGTCTTCAAAATCATTCCACGTTTACTAGCCTAATCCGTGTATGTAATCCGTAACAATAAACTTCTTATTAACTGAATAGAATTGTCTTTTCCATTAAAGCAAACGCCGTTTATTTGTTAATTTATTACAGAACAAACACTTGTAAGAATTGATAGGAATATAGTTTATTCTCAATGATCGAGATTATTCTGTCTATAGAAACACATTGTAGCATAATCCGTCTTTGAAATAATAGAAAAATTAAAAATAAACCGTGGCGAATTTATTTATGAAAATTATAAATCATGTGTCAGAACAGTGACTCGAACTCAAAGAAACGTGTAGGAAGCTGCACGTTCCGTCGAGTTAAAGCCAAAGATTTGCATTTATAATTTCAAATAGGGTATCTTTTTATTTACAGTTACTCTGACATATAATTATAGGTTTTAAACGAATACATTTAAAAACTGAATACACGTATAACGGCGAAGCTTTCCAAATAAAACAACTCGTACACGGAAGAAACTCAAGCATGAGTAAAGAAGATTTCAATAGTTACTGAAGAATTTAAAAATGGCGTATGTTTTACCGAGTAACTGAGTAACATTTAAAAACTAGATTCGAGCAACACCAATAAGACGTAAAGAAAGGGAAAGAAAACACGGTCTTGAAAGCAATCCGGAATGGTACGTACAAAAAACTTCCGAACTTTGAAAAAAATCTAAAATCGTTAATGAAGTACACTCACCCTCAACAGCCACAAATAAAGACAAAATTCAGATTTTTTTAACATACAAATAAATGCGTTAATGTCAGAAACGTAAAGCCTTATCCAACGGCATAGAGATAAGCTATAAAATAAACTTGAAACGAGTAAAAATACCTTGTATCGGACAATTGTCAATCTTAAATATTAATTAGTTATGTTATTGCATTAATTTAGGATTTAAATATTAAAAATTCAATAAATACGTTCTAAATTCCATTTTGAATTTAAACTAAACAAACGTTTGATATTACGTTGTTTCCGATCCGAACACAATTTCACACTTTCCCTCTTTCATTAACGACTGTGAAAACAGACATTAATGAAATTTTCAAGCTATTTGGCACGTGTTAAAAAAAAAGATTACGTAAAGATTCCAAGCAGAAAACAATTTGCCAATCTTGCGTAGAAATTTAAAATAAAATAGAACTTTTCTCGTTGTGTTGATGCAATGAATGTAGTGCAAATCGCTCACGTTTTTTTGTGATCAAAAAATAAACAAAAAAAAATTCAAAAATAAAATTATTTTCCTGCGTAATTCTAAGCAAGTTCTGTGATTAGCGTGACGTAAGCACGTTTACGATTGTTGCTTAAACAATAGATAGTAACAATATATTTTCGGCCATTGTCGAAGCGTTTATTCGGTGCTAAAAAATAAGATTAATGAGTAAGTTAAAGTACATTTTTATTGTATAATTATATTAACTGTTTTCTAACTTGTCGAAAATAAATATAGAAACATAAAATTAAGAGTAATTTTCGACCAGATGTTTAAAAATCCCAATAGAATGTTACAGAATGATAAGAACGGCGAATGTAGGTCTATTCTTAGTGCCATTAACGATATTTAACTTTGCATTCATTTTCTGCTTCAGACAATTACATCATTAAACGTATTTTTTCAAATAAATAACAATTTATTATTTTATTCATCTCATCCAAAATCTCAATATTGAATTCTATTAATAAACATTTAGTCATTTATTTCACCAGGAACAACTCTTCAGTAAAACTGCATATCAATTATTCATTTTACAATTGTAACAATTTAAACTTTGCACACAATTAATAATGTCAAATCACAATCTAATATTTATGACAGAAATAAGTTGACTTTTGCTAAATTCTTAGTATTATTGCTGTGGATTCTCAATGAATGTAATTTTCCAAATATGTTTTCTACAATGAGAATTTCATCTGTTAATTTGGTGTAAACCGTTCGTCATTTCCAATATTTTTCTCTTTCAAATTCTTATATAATTATTGAATTCACGCGAAAAACTTCTACGAATTGCTGTGTTTATTGCGTTTACTTTTATTCTCTAGTTTCTAATTGTCAAATGGATTTAAATGATACAAGTGAACACCCCACATGTGATGATGATGTTGGGGAGGAAGATGCTTTTATAACTATAGTGAATAGTATCATCCAATTAACATCTGATATAAATAGTGATTTTCCGGGTGAAACAGAATTGTCTTCTTCTGTAAGTTACAATTCAATGTAAATAATTTAATAACTCTTATAATTTAAAGATTTAAAACTAAAAAACAAAACACGACAAACGCACAATCTTATGGAAAGTGTTGATTGAATTGACTACAAATTCTTTATTAATTAATAAAAGATTTTTTCCGATAAATAATAGAACACTTCGACTACTGTAAGATTATTCTATCAGGAATAAAAACTTTTCACTTTTTACAGGATTCCGATGATGAAGAGGAAGATGATTTCTGGTTTTTGGAAAGTACTCGGTCAGAAAACAGACCTTTGAAGAAGGAGTTTGTATTTTTAGAGGAGCATTCATTAGTGAAAAAAATAATATATGAAGAAAACGAAGAAGTGGAGGTGTTGGTTGAAGGTGAGGTTACAAAAAGATTATAAAGAATTTTAAAATAATTTGTTAAAAATTATTAAGAAATCTTTTAATGTTAAACTCATTTTGTTCAAATTTATTTAAATTATAAAACTTAATATTAGTTATCCATTTTCAGTCTTTCATGCATGTTGTATGTCGTAGTTTATTATTTTCGAAACAATTCAAAAATAAATCATTCATTTCTACAAAGATTCCATTTATTTCGTCAAAAACACTTTCGATGATGAATTTTCTTACTGTTTAAATAACAATTTCAACCACATTATATAAATATTCACCAGTAAACATGATTAATTAGGAGTAAACCAACAAATTAAATAATTGCCACAAACACTACCTTAACATTGATGAAATGATTCATTGTCTTTGCCACTTCTCGTATCAAATTTAATTGAAAATTAATTCATCATCCTTCAAAGTATATGTCGAGAAATTACCAATAATTTTAATACAATTGAATGAATTTTATTGTTCCAATTGTTATATTATTTGACCTTGTAGGTTTTTGGAATGGCTGTGACATCTTCGAACAGAAAAAGTAAAGAAACGAAATATGTGTGTGTGTGTATTCACGTCTATTTCGTTTAATATCTCTGGATAGGTAAAAATTACGAAACGAAATTTGCACGGTAACTTGTTTAATAAGAGACATCGTGAACATTCAATTTTGATGGTTAAAGGTAAAAAATAGAAGTGGGTCAACCATCACGTTTCGAAAATAGTCGGTGTTTGTAAAGATTCTACACGCTTTTACCTCTAACAAATTTGTATACAACTTGTCCCTATTTTCAAACTTAAGCTTTGTCCGCATTCTTTGAGTGTGTGACATAAACAAATAGTGTATAAATGTAAAAGAAACGCTCGTAGAACTCAGACATCGAAGACTAAATTCGAATTCTATTGAAAGGTAACACGAAACTTGTATATAATTTTTTGTATAAGGTACGCTGAGATTCGTATTAATGTTGAGTGTATTATATTTTTGATCCTTTGATTTATTTACAATGGAAGAAATCCGATTAGACATTTACTTACATATTAATTATATTGCATTACCTCACTTTTTACACAATAATACTACTTTCTGACTGCCTATACAGTTCATATAAAAATACAGAGATATATTTCTACATAAACTTATTAGTCTGATACATTTTTTTATAATGAATATGTTTGAATAGGTGTAGACATTACGATATAAAATTACATAAAGGTAAATTCTTAAATTATTTTATAGGAAAGAAAAAAAACAAAGAAATGACAGAAAGAAATGAACAGATGAAAAAATTAAGTCTATTGGGTAAAAGAAGAAATACTTATGATAGATTTGCATACAAAAGAGAATCGGATGATGATGATGAAGTAAGAAAATATTTTCTAATTTTCTTTGATTTACACTTATGAATTCATTCTCGTTTCTCGCTAAATATCAATTACAATATTATTTTGATATTTTAAGACTCGTTTTCTCTCTTGTATTCACAATGATTCTATACATTCGGGTTACTTTACCTTCGAAATATTTAATAATACATTACTTTCGTAATATTATTTTTAAACAAACATTGTGATTTGAACCTGCTGTTAATTTATTTTCATATTTTATTTACGAAACATTTTTATTATTTGCAGGAAACGACCAAATGTTTCGATGCTTTTGTGGATTTTTTCCGCAGATTTCCATCAATCATCTGCTCTTGCTTCAAAAAGAAAAGTAAAATGGCGGAATGTACATCATCGTTACATTCCATTTAGCTAAAAAAAAGAAAAAAAGTTATATTTTTTAAATATTATTTAAAAAATTTATTGTTCTTACAATTATAACAAAGGCACATTACAAAATTATTTGGTCCAAATATCTGGTGTGCAACTTTCATCGGCAGGCGCCATCGTATAATCTGCTCTATACTTTCGGCCGAATTATTAATGCTTAATTAAAACAAAGCGAAAAATAATTTCTAATGCATTCGTGGAGATGTCATTATAATGTTATCGAAGGTTATCAGAGGAATGTAAGCGAAGGTTATCAGAGAAATTGTCAAGGTGTCCCTTTGTGGAGGCATAATCACCGTACGTGTCTCTGCAAGGGAAAAAGCGAACGACATCAGAAGGAATTGGAAAGGTCTCCCTTCGTAGAGGCATAATCACCGTACTTGTCTCTGCAAGGGAAAAAGCGAAAGACATAAGAAAGAACTGGCAAAATGTTCCTGCGTGGAGACATAATCACCGTACTTGTCTCTGCAAGGGAAAAAGCGAAAGACATAAGAAGGAACTGGCAAAATGTTCCTGCGTGGAGGCATAATCACCGTACTTGTCTCTGCGAGGGAAAGAACCAAGAAAATGGCAATTGAAATAGTAAAACAGAAATCTGTTAGCCTTCAATAATAGTTCGATTAAGTAACAAAATAATGAATCGTGGCATGAAAAATGCTATTTTTCGAGAAGATAAAAGCTTCTTTTTAATGAAATCTTTAAGGCATCAGCAAAATTTATTTTGAATAAAAACAAAGAGTTACTTCTATTTGATCTGAAAGAATGGAATTTCTGTTTAAATTTGAGAAATAGAATTGGATTGCACACCGTTTAACATTAATTTATGTGATTTTGTTAATGAAAGTATTTGATCTTAGATTTATTACTATTATTTTTAAAATTTATGACCTTGATTGCAACTAAAAGTCGTTAATCTTTGTGTTGCTTTTTTCACACAATAAATTATTGTGCCTTTGAAGTGTTTACTGTTTAATTTATTATAAAGTATATCCGAAAAATTTTTAAATTTATTCCACGAAATATAAATAAACAGAGATAGACACTTTTTTGTATACAAATGTAATAAGAATTTTAGTTATTCAGGTGTGTAGAGCATACGAAATATATGACAGTTGAAATTTCTTTAATGATATTCTAATATATTTTTTTTATAATAGTTGACACACGCAATAAACACATACAATATTACTTATACATTAGTATACACTAAAAAATAAGAATTAAATATGTATAATTAATACAATAAATGTATTTATTAAAGAAAAACCTGTTACTCATCGATTGATAAAAAAGTTTTAAAACGATTTACAAAAATTTACAAACATTGTATGGGAAACGGATGTTGTGTGGCGTATGGCTACACAGTTAAGATATCGCCATAGACGAGCGTGCACGTTTACATTCGAAGAGTTAAGTGGCAAAAGCAGTATTTTGTCGTATATCTGGCAGATTTTTTTGGCAGAGACGTTAACGTAGACAGCATCGTTGACATATCTATAGGAAAAATTCAGCGATAGATTTTGTAGCGATTTGGGGAATATTTTTTAATATGTATGAGGAAATTCCCTCGTGATAGAAATTCTCTCTGCTTGCGCCAGTTCGTAATAAGCGTTTCTCTGGGATGGTGGCCATTTTGCAACATTAGCTCCCTTTAACAATATTTTACTGGCGAGGATAATTTGTTGATGGATTTAAACTATCAATTCGAAAGACTTTACTCAAATTACACAAGATACACTTAACTCTTGGTATTCGCCAGGGTTAGGTTTTTTAAAAATCTCGTGAAAACCAAATAAGGATGCATACGAAGAAAATTTTCTAGTATAAAACGTTTAAATTATTTCTAAAAAGCAATGAATAATTTTATTAAATAAGACAAAAAACAAACATTTCGAGTAATATACTTTTATAATATACTGTATAATTTTAAATATTTTGATAAAAATAATGAACAATAGTCATCTTTTAAAGCTACAATACTGTATAAACATTAAATACTGTATTAGACTAAAGACAAATTTGCAAAGTAGCAAATTTTGTTTGTAATAAACTAATTCTGACTGTTGTGTACTTACACCGATTGCGTTCAGTGACGTCACATCCGACCGTAAATTAGAATTATTCTTGTCCAGCTTTTCGACCTCACGAAGTGGCAACACCTCGTGGTAAAAAACAGAACTACGGCTACGAAATCGTTTTGTAATTAGCCTCCAGTGTGTCTAGAGATCAATGGCTGAAGATCAACAGGCTCAGCAGAAAGGGAAGTGAGTTCAATACAGCATCTATTCGAGTTATGGCAATTCTTTGAAATTCAAGATTGTTGATTTTGTTAAAAATTTACTAGGGCATAATTATTTAAATACACTTTTACAGCCTGCTGCTTTGGGGACCCGGGTCATAAGCGGACGGATCGAAATGTCCCATGAATTTTTTGGAGTAGTCGGGCCCCGTCCCTCACAATCCGACGGCCGCATTATAGGCCTGGCCGAGCCCTTAATGAGCTCGTTAAAAAGGCTATCTTAGTGCTCACAGGGCGAAAAGTTAAAAAAAACTATGTGCATTTTGGGATCATCAATACCCTTTATCAGTTCGGTTCCCCCTCTGTTAAAATTTAATGAGGATTAAAGTTAAAACAACTTTACTTATTAAATTTATCATTCAGAATACCATATATTTAATATTTTAATTTGTTTCTCAACTTTACTTTCTGTACTTTGGGATTTAGACATTTATGTTCTATTAATTAATATAATGTTTTCTGTTTCAATGTTCACATTGGGTTAATAAAAAATCTATTAGTCAACTTTCAAACTAAATAATTGGGTTATTGATAATAAAAAAAATTTTGAGTCGGCTACTTGAATTTTGCTACAAAAGCTAGAAATACCTGGCAACACTCGTTTCAAGTCAAGTGTAAACCACGTTGCTGCATGCTCTGTGCTACAGTGGCCTGTTCATCCATTCATTCGACTCATCTTGAATTTGTTTAGTCAAACGTTAGTAGACGAACGACCGCAAGTAATTTCTGACTAGTAGTATCATTTGTGCACTATAATCACCACTTTATAGTGCATAAAGTCTGGAATAGCCAGCGTGGCAAAAGAAGCTATCAAAGATCAATAGTCTAAGGGGTATGACAGCAAAGTAGGTGACATACTTAATTAAGGGCACATTCTTGGCATCCAAAGTGATATGTGGCCAGTCACCATGGAAGAGATTGGAGCCACATCACGTACCCTCCACCATAGTAAGCCATGAAAATCGCTACCACTAAAAGGATGAGTTATAGAGACAAGATTGAGCCCCCTGCGAACTGTGTCTCTAATGAATGCTCAGTTGTGTCATGAGAACAGTAAGTTTGACTTTAATATTAGAGAATATGAAGAGGCCATCTTAATCCCACCTAGGAGGATGACATCAGATATACCCAAACTGAAGACCAGGAATGTACTCTTTAACATAGAAGCTTGGAATGTGAGAATACTGTATGAACCGGGAAAACGTGATGATTTAGATCAAGAAATAAAGTCAATACAGCTTGATGTAGGTATTTGCGAAACAAGATAGACAGAATCAGGAAAGCTAAACAAGAATGAATTTACAATGAATAAGTATAGCAAGATCAATTAAGGGCTTTACTGCAGTCAAAGAGAAAATCATTGCAGTAACGATAGCTGCTCAACCTTTTGACATCCTCCTAATCCAGGTTTATGCACCCACAACTGGCCACGAGGAATAAGACATTAAAATATTCTATGCAAATTTGAAGGAATCAGAGAAAATGGCAAAATCAAATGATATAATTATGGTTATGGGTGATTTTAATGCAAAAGTGGGCAATGAGAAGATACTGGAATGCATGGGCCAATATGGGCTAGGTAAGAAAAATAAAAGAGGGGATAAATTCATTTAATTTTGTGAAAAAAATAAGTTGATAATCACCAACACCCTGTTTAAACATCCAGCAAAAGTGTATACATGGAAAAGTCCAGGTGATATTTGCAGGAATCAAATAGACTTCATTTTGATTAAGGAAAAATTCAGATATATTTTAAAACAAGCCAAGTCATATCCTGGAGCAGATATTAATTCGACCATAATCCAGTTGTAGGGAAAGCAAAAATTAAACTAAAAACCTGTAAGCAAAAATCAGTATCAGTACTCTATGAAAAGGACTCTATGAAAAAATCAGAGAAGTCACTTTTAAAAAATGGTATTTCAAGCACAACGTATAAGAGATTTAAATGGGAGAATAATCTTGGAGACAGAAGAAATAATGAAAAGGTGGTATGAATATGGATTATAATTATTCCAAGGTGACAGGGAGGAGAGTGGGAGTTAGAAGGCCCACCAATACTCAAATGAGCAGTTGTAAAAGCCATTGACAAAGTTAAACCTAGTAAGGCTGCTAGGCCAGGCAATATAGAACCAGAATGGATCAAAGCTCTAAATGACAGAGGCATCAAAGCCCTAGCTAAGTTATGCAATGACATCTATTAACTGGGATACCTTCCTGAATACTTCAATCTATATTTGTTCCAATTTCCAAACACCAAAAGCAAATAAGTGTGAAGATTTTAAAACCATATGCCTAATTAGTCATGTGACAAAGGTTCTAACTTGTATCTTGTTAAATAGAGTCAAAGGAAGATGAAACAAAGGCGTAAGTAAAACACAAAGTGGTTTCCAAGAGAATAAAGGAACAAGAGAAGGTATTTTCAATCTGAAAACTATTATTAAAAGATATAAGGAAAAACAGAAAAATATTTATATATGTTTTATAGACTATACAAAGCAATTTGATAACGTGAAATATGATTACCTTATTAAATGTCTATTAGAAAACAGTATGGATGAAATGGATGTACATTACTCACCAATTTATACTGGGAGCAGAGAACTGCAATAAGGATTGGCAAAGAATTGTCGCAAAACTCCCCCAAAAGGAGTTAGGCAGGGTTGTGTGCTGTCTTCAATTTTCTTCAATTTTTATACAGAAAGAATTTTTAGTCAGGTCAAAGATCTAAAAGGAGTAAACATAGGGGACAGAAATTTCAATAATCTTAGGTATGCTGATGACACTGTGCTATTGGCAGAAAATGAATGGGATCTAATGATGATGATAGAGGAAACATCAAAATTCGGACTAACACTGAACTACTAAAAGACCAAAACTATGGTCATTTCCAATGAGAAAAACTCCAAAAGTAAATATTAAAATCTGAGACAGTAAACTATAGCAGATCAAAAGTTATGTCTATCTGGGACATATCATTGCAGATGATGGAAGAAATGATAAGGAAGAAAAATTGGAAATGCAAGGACTGCATTTACAAACATGAAAC